ACCATTTGTCAGCAGAAAGTCCCTGTCTGGTTTGGCTCTGTGGACTGGAGAGTCCAGGGTTCGGTTCCTGCTAAGCACATGTACCTTGATTGTGGATTGTCCCCGGCCCAGGCTGAGGTTGTGGGGGTGGCAACCCTCTCCCATTGATGTTTCCCTCTCTCTCTCTTCCATCCTATCTACATGAAGATAAATGTAAATATGTCCTCAGTGAGGATTAAAAAAAAAACAAAAACCTGTGACCACAATGGCTCCATGGCTGCTTCAGCATCTGCAGTCAATTGCACAAGCTCGCCCTGGCCGGATTGGCTCAGCTGTTAGAGCGTTGGCCTGCGGTCCAGAGAGACCCGGGTTCGGTTCCCACTAAGGACACGTACTTCGGTTGCAGTTTCTCCCCGGCCCTGCTTGGTCGTGTGGGTGGCAGCCACTCGATGTGTCCCTTTCACGTCGATGTTTCTCTCTCTCTCTCTCTCTCTCCCTCCCACTCTATCTGTACAAAAACTGGAAAAATGTCCTCAGGTGAGGATAAAAAAAATAAATAAATAAAAAAAATCCATAAAAAAAAAAAATTGCACAAGCTGATCACAGGAAGTGATGGGCGGGGTCGGAGCCTGAGCTCAGGACTAATGGATAGGGGTGGGGCCTGGACCAGTGGCCAGGGCTTTGCAGAGACCTGACTGGAGGGAAGAGGCTGCAGACTGGGCACAGTACAGGCTCCCTCCACCTCACTGTCATGGCTGATGGCCTTTCCTTATTAAGTGCATTTGTGTTACCCACGTGATCACTTCGAAATTTGTAACATGGCTTTCCAAAATTAATAATATGTAGGCATTGCACGGATTTAGTTTCCTGTATTTGTCACAAACATATCTTTAATGTCACATTTTTAATTGATTTTTTTTCTCTTTACTGATTTTAGAGGTAGAAGGAGGGATGGAAACATCCATGAGAAAGAACATTGATTGGCCATCTCCCGCATACCCCCAACTGGGTATTTGGCCCAAAACCTCCCCACATGCCCTAACCAGGAATCAAACCAGCAACTGCTTGGTGCATGGGTCAATACTCAATCACTGAGCCACACAGGACTGGCTAACATTATGTCTTTAAAGTTTCTCTCAGATGGCCCACCAAGTGTGGCAAGTGTAACTCACTGGAATGAGCAGCATCCCATTGACTGAGAGGCCTTGGTTTGAATCCAAGTCAGGGCACATGCCTGAGTGCAGGCTTGATCCCCAGGATGCGTGCAGGAGGTAGATCATTGATGTTTCTGTCTCTCTCTCTCACTGTCGACAATTCAAGAAAAATAAATTTTTTAAAAAAGAGTTATATTAGATATCTTTAATGCTGTTTTGTAATGTTTAACTCTCAGTTAAATATATTGCCCAACTCACCATATATATATTTATTTTTTTATCCTCACCCGAGGACACTGTTCCATTTTTTGTACAGACAGAGTGGGAGGGAGAGAGAGGAAGAGAGAGAGAGGGAAACATTGATGTTAAAGGTACACATCGAGTGGCTGCCACCCGCATGACCAACCAGGGCCGGGGACAAACCGCAACCAAGGTACATGCCCTTAGCGGGAACTGAACCCGGGTCTCTCGGGACCGCAGGCCGACGCTCTAACCGCTGAGCCAAACTGGCCAGGGCCAACTCACCATATTTTAATATCTTCCTGCCAACATAACATTCAAACCTATAGAAAATTTTCTGAGTTTATCTGAGCCAAATTGGGGACAATTTCTAGGAAGCAAAATTTTAAGGAATTGAGATAATGTTCCAGAGAATGACAGCTTTGCACCTTTTTTATGTAATTAGAAGAAAAAGCACAACTGGACTATATGAAATCCACTGGTAATAGATTAGGGCAGGAGAAAGCAAAGAGGATAATGCTGTAGAATTGGATTAACAATAAAATGATAGGTACACCTGTCTTTTATATAAATGGGTACAGGATAGTTAACAGTTAATCCACATAATGACAATGAGATTTATTAAGTCCCTAATTGTATTGGTTCTAACAGGTGGTCATTATGCAATGAGGGGTTTGGAAAAGGGGCACTACCCTGACATTCCACTTCAAGGTTATCTTAGATGCAAAAGCCAGTAAAAATACTTAGTTATGATAAAGATTGACTGTTGTCATGGAAGATTGTAGTACAGGAAGTGACTACTTACCATAAACTGATTGTGCTTAAAAGTGTTTAGCTTGGATAGATAATGAGGTTCCACTGGGCAAGGGAGGCTCACTTCTATGAAGTCTCAGTGTTAGTATTTGTCTTCCTTAGTAATGGGCCATGGGGGATGGGTCAGGACTGAACCTCAGATGGAAGTTAAATACAATTTTTTCTAAAGGATGGAAGTCAAATCCAATTTTTTCTAAAGTGAAAGGTAGGTAAATGTGAGGCAAACAGGTCTTATGAGTCTCTATTAAGAAACATTGGATTACTTTTAATGTATAGGTTATTATGATTCAGGTTTTGTCATTTTGTATTTTGTATTTAGTATAGTATTTACTTATGCTTGAGGACATAATATACATCATCTTCAGTAATAGTTGAGAAAAATAAATATAGATATCTATCTATATATAGACTAAGAAACACCTAAAGTACCAGTATATATTATCATTACTAATGTTATCAGTAACATTAATTTGTAGGTATAGATGACATGTCATTGTCTTAGGATAACTAATTTTTTTTTTATCCTCACACAGGACATTTTTTGATATTTTGTTCAGATAGAGTAGGAGGGAAAGAAAGAGAGAAACATCGACGTGAAAGGGACACATCGACTGGTTGCTACTCACACAACCCAAGCAGGGCTGGGGACGAACCGCAACCGAGGGATGTGCCCTTAGCGGGAACCGAACCCGGGTCTCTCTGGACCGCAGGCCGACGCTCTAACCGCTGAGTCAAACCGGACAGGGCAGGATAACTAAGTTTGATGTACGGGATTTTCATCTTTGAAAAGGTTTTTATGTCTCCTGTAGATGGAGGCGAGTGTCAGAGAGAAGGGGGAGATGTCCATTCGTGGTTAGGCACCTGATAAGGTCCCTGTTAAGTTTTAGCCAGTGAAGGGGGCTTGTGAAAGTACTCAAAAAAAAAAGAAGAGAGAGAGAAAAGGCATAAGTTTGTTACTTTCCCTAAATTCAGGGAAAGACCCATGCACTGACTGGCAATACAAGGGCAGGAAACAAAGAGTACGTTGCTCTTTTATTGGGGTTTGAGGGAGTAAACAAATATTTGGGTCAGGGAAGGGGCGATGTTGAAGGTGAACAGATGTGGAAGGAGGGTTGCCTTGAGCATTCGCAGTATGTATGTTTTCCAGGAAATAGGCAGATGTACCAGAAACGGGTATTTATCAGTATCTTAATTTTATTGTGTTTAGTGAAGCCACAACAATGGTTCAATTTCTGTCCGAATTCTTTTTCTTTTTATTCTTTCTTTAGATTGATTCCTATAATGTTGAGGAAGTTTGACAACAGGTTAAAGGCCTTGCCACATCCTCTAGTTTGCAAAGGTTTCAGTCCACTATAATTTTTTCCCCTCACCCGAGGACATTTTCCACTTTTTGATCAGATAGAGCGAGTGGAAGGGAGGGGGAGAGAGAGAAACATCGACGTGAAAGGGACACATCAAGTGGCTGCCACCCACATGACCAACCAGGGCCGGGGACAAACTGCAACAGAGGTATGTGCCCCTAGTGGGAACTGATCCGAGGCCTCACTGGACCACAGGCTAATGCTCTAACCACTGAGGCCACCTGCCAGGGCTAATTTTTTTTCTGTAAAGACACCACTGCTGATAAAAGGTTTTAGGACACACACTACATTCACAGGGCTTCTCTCTAGTATGAATTGCCGCACTCTTCACATTTCTAAGACTCCTCTTGACAATAAAGTATCTGATGTTAAATAAAATCCCATTGCCAAGAAAATAACTGTAAAGGCATCTCTTCAGTAACTCTCTGATGCATAGTAAGTTTTAAACACTGGTTAAAGGCTTTGTCACATTCCTACACGGTAAGGCTTTCCTCCAGCATGGATTCTCTGATGTTCAGAAGTTTTGAGAAAAGGATAATGGTTCTACCACCTTCTTTGTATTTGTAAGGTCTCTACAGTATGATCCCTCTCAGGTACATTAAGACATGAGTGTCTTTTGAAGCCTTTCCCACACTTTTCACAAACATAGGGCTTCTTCCCAGTATTAATGTTGAGTGAGTTCTCCATGCTGGTAAAGGATTCCTACTCTCCTTACATCTGTAGAATTTCTCTCAAGTATTAACTCTCTGATGTACAGTAAGGTGGAAATACTGGTGAAAGGCTTTGTCATATTTTCTACTAGTATCAAGTTTCTTTCCAGTGTGAGATTTTTGATACTAAGTAAGGTCTGAGAACTAGCTAAAGAAATTACAACATGCTATGCATTTCTAATGTCTCTCTCTTCTATGTATTCTCTGATGGTTAGTAAGGGTTGAAGTCTTCCTGAAGGTTTTCCCACATTCTCCACATTTATAAGGCTTTTCAACAGTATGAACACTCTGATGTCGAATAAGGTTTGAGGACTGACTAAAGGCTTTGCCACATACTATACATTTGTAAGATCTCTCTCCAGTGTGTATTCTCTGATGGACAGTAAGGTATGAGGACTGGCTGAAGGCTTTGCCACATTCTCTACATTTATAAGGTTTCTCTCCAGTATGAATTTTCTGATGCTCTTTAAGTTTATGGGACCGCCTGAAGGCTTTGCCACATTCTCTGCATTTAAAAGGCTTCTCTCCAGTGTGAATTCTCTGATGAACAGTAAGATGTGAGGACTGGGTGAAGGTTCTCCCACATTGTCTACATTTGTAAGGTCTCTCCCCAGTGTGAATTCTCTGATGGACAGTAAGTCTTTGTGACCGGCTGAAGGCTTTGCCACATTCTCTACATTTATACAGCTTCTCTCCATTATGAACTCTCAGATGTTTATTAAGGTAGGAATACTGACTAAAGGCTATGCCACATTCTCCACATTTGTAAGGCTTCTCTCCAGTATGAATTCTCTGATGCTTAGTAAGGTTTGAGGACTTGATAAAGGTTTTGCCACATTCTATACATTTATAAGGCCTCTCTCCTGTATGAACTCTGAGATGTGCAGTAAGGGCTGAGGACTGGCCAAAGGCTTTACCACATTCTATGCATTTGTAAGGTCTCTCTTGAGTATGTGTTCTCCGATGGTCAGTAAGGGTTGAGGACTTCCTGAAGGTTTTGCCGCATTGACTACAATTATAAGGCTTCTCGCCAGAATGAACTCTTTGATGATAAGTAAGGGTTGAGGCAATACTAAAAGCTTTTCCACATTCTCTACATTTATAAGGCTTCTCTCCAGTATGAACTCTCTGATGTCGGGTAAGGCTTGAGGAGTGGGCAAACGTTTTTCCACATTCTCTACATTTATAAGGCTTCTCTCCAGTATGAACACTCTGATGTCGAATAAGGTTTGAGGACTGCCTAAATGCTTTGCCACATTCTATGCATTTGTAAGATCTCTCTCCTGTATGTATTCTCTGATGGACAGTAAGGTATGAGGACTGGCTGAAGGCTTTGCCACATTCTCTACATTTATAAGGTTTCTCTCCAGTATGAATTTTCTGATGCTCTTTAAGTCTATAGGACCGCCTGAAGGCTTTGCCACATTCTCTGCATTTATAAGGCTTCTCTCCAGTGTGAATTCTCTGATGAACAGTAAGATGTGAGGACTGGATGAAGGCTCTCCCACACTGTCTACATTTGTAAGGTCTCTCCCCAGTGTGAATTCTCTGATGGACAGTAAGTCTTTGTGACCGGTTGAAGGCTTTGCCACATTCTCTACATTTATATGGCTTTTCTCCAGTATGAATTCTCAGATGTTTACTAAGGTAGGAATACTGATGGCAGTTAAAGGCTTTGCCACATTCTGAAAAATTATAAGACTTCTCTCCTGCAGAAATTCTTTGATGTTGAGTATGTTTTGAGTACCGACTAAATCCTTTTCCACGTTCCCTACATTTGTACAGTTTTCCCCAAGTATGAATTCTCTGCTCATGTACAGTAAGACATGAATAAAATCTAAAGGCTTTGCCACATGTTTTACATTTGTAAGGCTTCTCTCCAGGTTTTTCTCCAATATGGATTCTTTTAAGTCTACTTACACTGAATGGTTGACTGGAGACTCTACCACATGGATTCCATTTGTAATCCTCCTCACCAGTATGAATACTCTCTTGTTCAGTGTGATTTGACGACTGCTTTGAAGATCTGACACATTTACTTGGCTTGTTTGTCCTCTCCACAATATGAGTAACCTGATGTATACTGTGACGTGACATTTGGTCAAAGACTTTCCCACCTTTATAATCGTTCTCTGGAAGCTGCCTTCTCTGAGGAGTAATGGAGTTTGACTCCTGGTAAAAGTTCTTCTTCCAATGTTCATTCCATTGATAACCTCTGTCGCCATTATATGTTTTCTGGTAATCATTAAAGATAGAAAGGCCTTTAGTCACACCTGTAACTTCATTAAACATGTAGTGTTCCATAAGATCTATTTTGTGATACTTATTAAACCATGATGTTTTTATTAAAATATGCTACCAAGGTTTTGAAAATTGTAGATAAATTTTCACATTAAAATTTTTATAGATATATTATAAATCTCTGGATTTTCGAAATAATTAACTGAAAGTTTAATCCCGCCACCATTTTAAACAATTCGAATGATTATTCACACCACAGATTATGTGAGTTCCAATATTTCTAGATTTACTTTGTAAGAATATATGAATAAAATATGGTTTTCAATCTTCACATATAGCAACACAATAATCTGAAAATGCAAGTGACTTTCTTTCTTTCTTTTTTTATCCTCACCCGAGGACATTTTTCCATTTTTTGTTCAGGTAGAGTGGGAGGGACAGAGGGAGGGAGAGAGAGAAACATCGATGTGAAAGGGACACATCGAGTGGCTGCCACCCGCACGACCAACCAGGGTCGGGGACAAACTGCAACCGAGGTACATGCCCGGCCAGGGCTGAAAATGTAACTGACTTTAAAGTGAGAGTCTCCCCAAATCCTCGAACTCTTTAAGTAACAAAAATGTTATTATGAATGAATCCCATGTTAGTTCTGTTCATATTAACATCTTTCTTCACGTCACACTCATCCTCAAATGCAAACCATTTCATTAAGTGTTCAGTATCAAAGCCACACCGTCCATATCTTACCAGTCTTATTTCTGAGAATAAGTCTCGCAGTTCGGGTTTTCGCAAAAAGGACTGGTTGTATCCAGATGACATGGCTGAAAGAATATAAATTTTCACAAGTTTGACATTTAGCTAAATGTACGTTGAACTTACCAGCAATTACTTGACCAAATGACAATTTTTTTCTACTCCAAAAGCAAGTGAATATTCCCAAGAAAGGTGAAGACAGGTATAACGAGAAAAAGTCACAGCTACGAGGGACAAAAAGATGCTTACATTTGCCAATGATACCTGTTCAAACCCCTTCACCCACACAATGGAAATACTTGCATTTCCTAATACTACTAATTCCCAGTTTCTTCTTGGGAAAACTAGAGGTGAGGGTACTATATGTTCAGTGATCTCGCTGTTTGGAAATGTCTCTAGAGCTCTGTTTCTATTGTGTACGACAGAGTGGTAAAGGAATGGCAGTACAGTGAATGCACTGTAGTGGCTACTACAAAGAAACAAAGAGAAACGGTTCAAACTCTACAAAGACTGCAGTACTTCAGACATATATTAAGCATGAAGAGATAACATGGCTCATCCTGGCTGGTTTTGCACAGTGGTTAGAGTGTGGTCCAAGGACCAGAAAGCCCTGGAATAACTTCCCACAAGGGGCATGTACTACAGTTGTTGTTTTTGCCCTGTCCCCATTGGTGTCACGTGGTGGCAACCAGTTGATGTGGCTCTCTCACATCGATGTTTCCCTCTCACTCTTCCCCTCCTTCTCTATCTGAAGATAAATGTCAGACAATGTCCTCGGGTGAGAATTAAAAAAAACAAAGAGAAAAATTCCCAAACCTGGTGAAAGACAGAAACATACTATTCCAGGCAACACAAGGAGTCCCAAACAAAAGAAGCAAAAGAGACACACCTCAAGACACATAATAATGAAAATGTCAAAGGTAAGCGATCTGGTGTGGCTCAATGGATTAAGCATCATCGCACAGACTAAGAGGTCCTAGTTCAATTCCCAGTGAGGACACATGCCCTGGTTTTGGGCTAAATTCCCTGCAGAGGGTGCGCAGGAGGCAGCTAAGCGATGTTTCTATCTCACATCAATGTTTCTAACTCTCTCTTCTTTCTCTAAGAAAAAAATCAATAAAGACATATATATATATATATTTTTTTTTTTTTTTGGTGAAGAACTTTTTTTAGTTTATTTAGGCCACACTGTCAACAATTGATGGAAAGCAAAATCTCAAAGATTGAGATAATGTTTTGCCACTCGTTCTGTACATTACCAGAAAAAGAGGAAACCTCAGTGGGTTACATGAAATCCATTGGTGATAGATTAGGCAGGCGAAACAGAGAAAGCAAAGCGCTAAAAAACAATACAAAACAACCTAAACCAGCACTAGAAAAGCAGTTATCGACAAGGACGTTCCCCTAAGACTATCAGCTGACTTCACAACTGAAACTCCAGGACAAAATATTTAAAGTAGTGAAAAACAAGTAAGTATACCCAAGATTACACTACCCAAAACAGCTAATATTTAAAATCAAACGATAGCCCAGATGGTGTGGTTCAGTGAATGAGGCTCAACCTATGCAACAAGTAGTCACTGAGTGATTCCATTCCAGGTCAGAACATTACGAGTTTAGGGATTCAACCTCCTGAAGGGGGCGTGTAGGAGGCAGCCAATCTATGTTGATGCTCCTCTCTCAAATTGATGTTTCTATCTCTCTCACTCTCCTTCTCCCGTCCTCGCTCTCTCAGAAATTAATAAAAATTAAAAATAATACTAAAAACCCCTGGCCGGTTTCGCTCAGCGGTTACAGCGCAGGCCTGAGGTCCAGAGAGACCTGGGATCGGTTCCCGCTAAGGGCATGTCCCTCGGTTTCAGTTTGTCCCTGGCCCTGGTTGGTCGTGCAGGTGGCAGCCACTCGATGTGTCCCTTTCACGTCGATGTTTCTCTCTCTCTCTCTTCCTCTCCCTACCTCCCACTCTGTATAAACAAAAAATGGAAGAGTGTCTTCGAGGGAGGATAAATAAATAAGTAAATAAATAATTCTTAAAAGATAAGGATAAAATAGAAAAACAGGTAGTTTCCAATACAAACAAAGAGCTAAAGAAGTTCATAATCACCAAATCAGGATAAGAAATGTTAAAGCTTAGACTACTTAAAAAAAAAAAAAAAAGCCTTGGCTAGTGTTGCTCACCTGGTTGAGCATCATCCTATCAGAAGGATGCCAGTTTGATTCTTTCTCAAGGTCATATTCACCAGTGGCAACCTAAAGAAGGTACCAAATGATGTTGTGCTCTCATATCACTGTTTCTCTTTCTGTCCCTTCCACTTGCACTAAAAATTAATAAAACTATTTTTTAAAGGCCCAGCTGTTTTCACGCTCAATGGTTCAGCATTGACCAATAAACCAAAAGGGTACCAGTTCAAATCCCGTCATGACACATGCTCAGGATTTGAGTTCGATCTGATTAACGTTCATATTTATCCCTCCTGGATGTTTATATTTCCCGCTCCCTCTAAAATCAGCAAAAATTTTTTTCTTTTGTCCTCACCCAAGGGCATTTTTTAATTTATCTTCAGATAGAGTGGGAGGGAGAAAGGGAGGAAGAGAGAGAGAAACATCAACGTGAGAGAGACGCATCGAGTGGTTGCCACGCACACGACCCCAACTGGAGCCAGGGAAAAACTGCAACTGAGGTACGTGCCCTTAGTGGGAAGCACACCCAGGACTCTATGGTCAATGCATTAACCTCTGAGCTAAACTGGACAGGGCAATAAAAAATATTTTTGAAAAAGCAATAACAATTTTGAATAATAAATGGCTATAAAACAAACGTGAAATCTCCCCAGCCAGTATGGCTTAGTTGATTCAGTGTCCATCCAAGAACTGAGAGGTCCCATTCAATTTTTGATTAGGGCAGGGGCCCGGTGGTTTCAGGTTCGATTCGTACTTGGGTGGAGTGCAGGAGGAGGCTGATCAATGTTTCTCGCTCACATCAATATTTCTATCTCTCTCTTCCTTCCTCTCTCTCTAAAATTATCAATAAAAACATATTATACTGATCAAAATCTTATCATTTGTTTACAATACAGATCTACCTAGAGTGTATTATGCTACCCAGAGTGAAATAAGTCCATCAGAAAAGGACATACAATGCCCTGGCTGCTTTGGCTCAGTGATTAGAGCATCAGCCTGCAGTTCAGAGAGACCAGGGTTCAGTTCTCAATAAGGGCACGTATCTCGGTTGCAGTTTGTCCCCGGCCCTGGTTGGGTTGTGTGGGAGGGGGCCACTCTACCTGTACCTTTAATGTCAATGTTTCTCTTTCTTTCTCTCTTTCTCCCTCCCTCCCACCCACTCTAACAAAAAATGGGAAAATGTCCTCAGGTGAGGATAAAAAAACAATAAACAAACTCATAGATACACAGAAGAGTCTTATAGTTGTAAGACCTGATGCCTGTTGAAGGACTTCGTGACAACAGGGAAGGAACTGAGGAGTATAGGTGGTAGTCACAGATAGTCACTGGGATGTGAAGTACAGCAAAGGAAATATAGTAAATGATGTAGTAACGACTATGTACAGTGCTGTCTGGGTACTGGAAATACTGGGGAAACACTGTGTAAAGTAGACGACTGTCCAACTACTCTTCTGTACACCTGAGACTAACACAGAAGAGTACAGAATGAAAAAAGGAGACCTCAGGCCTAGATTAGAATAGGACTTACCCTTATCCTGAATATTATATACAGGTACAATTGGAAAAGAATCCTTCTATATCACCATGAATTCTAACTGCAAGTGTGCTTCTATGAACAGCAAACATTTTGCATGACGACATACGTATATAATATGGTAGGAAAATGTCACAGGAAGTGAATTCAAATCATTTAAAAATACCTATGAAAAGGGATTTTCATAAAAAACAGTTGGCAGCCTTGGCCAGGTAGATCAGTTGGTTACAGCATCAACCACAAAGGGCAAGGTTGTGGTTCGGTCCTTGGTCAGGGCACACAAAAAATTCAAAGAACAAATGCATAAATAAGTGAAACACGAAAATCAATATTTCTCTCTCTGTTCCCGCACTTCTCGTATAAAAAAAAAAACAAAGAATAAAAAAAGCATTTAAATATTTGAGATATATTTTCAATATTAATCTTCTCTGTGGTTATTACACAAAATGTGTAGGGTGTAAATCACCCTAACTAAAACAAGACAGACGCCAAAAATATGCATCTAATTTATTTAAAAAAAAAACAAACAAATCATAAAAAAGTTGTAAAATTTACAAAGAGTGAATGCTGTTTAAAATGAACATTTCAGCCCTGGCCAGTTTGGCTCAGCGGTTAGAGCGTCGGCCTGCGGTCCAGAGAGACCCGGGTTCGGTTCCCACAAAGGGCACGTACTTCGGTTGCATTTTGTCCCCGGCCCTGGTTGGTCGTGCGGGTGGGGCAGTCACTCGATGTGTCCCTCTCACGTCGATGTTTCTCTCTCTCTCTCTCTTCCTCTCTCTCCCTCCCACTCTATCTGTACAGAAAATGGAAAACCAATGTCCTCAGGTGAGGATAAAGAAAAAAAATAAAAATAAAAAAATAAAATGAAAATTTCAGGCCTAGCGGGGTAGCTTAGTTGGTTTGAGCATTGTCCCAATATACCAAAGTTGTGGGTTCTTCCCCATTCAAGACCCATACAAGAATCAACCATTCCTGGTGTGTTTGGCTCAACGGTTAGAACTTAGGCTTGCCGTCCAGAGAGACCCGGGTTCGGTTCCCGTTAAGGGGTATTTACCTTGGTTGCAGTTTGTTCCCGACCCTGGTTGGGTGATACGGGAGACAGCCACTCGATGTGTCCTTTTCACATCGATGTCTCTCTCTCTTCCTCTCTCTCCGTCCCACTCTATCTGAACAAAATATGGAAAAACGTCCTCGAGTGAGGATTAAAAAAAACAAGAAAACACTTTTCTAAAACACTGTTTCCAGATAGCACATTAATTATTCTGTGCAACATGTAAAGTTTACAGACAATGAGTTCCTAATTAACATACATCACAAAGCTTTTCTTTTCAACAAAGAAAACCTCAAATTTGTTCTTGGAGACCAAGACTCTTAACAGGCTATCATAGAAAGCAGAAGCCTTTTGTTAAAGTAATAAAGGAAGCAAAACCCTGCGGCTGGAGGAGGAGCTCTGGAAGGAAGTCATCCTCACCCAGGAAGACCAGGTTCCTGTAGTTCTCCAACATCACATCCAGGTACAATGTCCGCTGAGCTGGGTCCAGGCATTCCCACTCCTCCTGAGAGAAGTCTACGGCCACATCCCTGAAGGCCAGCGGGCCCTGAAAGGAAAAACACATTCACCAAGAAAAAGCAAGCAGAGTTCATAATGTCACCCAACATGGAAACAGTGTTAAGAGAACTGGTTTTGACCTAGGAGTATCCGAAATTATCTAGTAAGATCATTTTGAACCAGTAATAGTGTCTACTATATTTTGTAACATTGAGAAATGGAGATGATACATATCCACAAATCCATTGCAGACACGTTACTTTTCAGGAAAATAAAATTTAAAATTAAGGCACCAATACAGGCGTATGGATTTTGAGCACTGTATTTGTATCTGTTAGGGTCAGTTGTGTATACTTCTCAGTTATAAATGTCACAGTGAGTTGGAAGTGTAAGTATTTCTTCAAGTATAATACAGAGAATACCCAACTGCACTTTTCTAATTTTTTCTTTAATCCTCACCCAGAGATATTTTTTCCATAGATTTTTAGAAATAGTAGAAGTGAGGGACAGAGAGAGAGGGAGAGAGGAAGGGGAGATCGGGGGAGAGAAACATCAATGTGATAGAGACACATCGGTTGGTTACCTCATGCACATGCCTGACTGGGGTTGGAGATCGAATCTGTAACCATGGTACTTGCCCTTGAACGGGAATCGATCATCCCCTCTCCAGTGCACCCGCTGACCCTCTAACCACTGAACCACGCTGGCCAGGGTTGCACACTAATAGTACATTCAAACAGCAAGTCTTCTATACCTACCCAGTGAGCAAGTCTCTTCTCTTCACTCTTCTTTTCAGAACTTTCTGAATTATCCTAGAGGTAAAATGTGCATTTCCTTAACCCTGATGCTGCAGCCACGTTACCTAAAATCTACGCCTCCCTTCTTCACTGACATGCGAGCCTCTGACCTCATCCCAATAGGGATATCAGACATGGGAGCCTTCCGTGCTTGGTCTTTCAGGAAAGGGATGTTTTCATGACCTAGGGGAGCCTGCAGAAAGTGAATGCAGAACAGGCTCTGGGACAAAGGAGAGAAGTATGCAACCTGCTAACCTTGACCATCGTAAGGAAAAAAAAAGAATGAAATAAATAAATAAATCAAGGAAAACAACCTCACTAGGCAAGAATATCAGAAGTAGAGAAATTAGACTTCCGGTCAAGATGGCGTCACAGGTGAACGCGGTATCGCGTCCTCCCACAACCACAGAACAAACATCATTCAAAACCGCCTGAAATTGGGCTGAATGGAAGACCTATAACTACGGAATTAAAGAAGCAGCCACATGGAGACTGGTAGGACAGGCTGGTCCCACACCCACGTGTGGTGGATAAAAATCAGGAGGACACCTCCGATGGGAAGGTCATCCCTGAGAACTGAGGGGTCGCCGTCCCTCACCAGGTGCCTCACTCAGGGTTCCAGTGCCAGGAAGAAAAGTCCACATAACTTCTGGCTGGAAAAAACAGTGAGAACTGAGGCTCAGGGAGGCTGAGGCAGCTGGAGCCCTAGGCAGCTCCTTAAAAGGCCCTGGAACGAACTTATTGGACTCACTCCCTCTAAGCTTGGAGAGGAGGCAGCTCAAGGGGCACCAGACACATACAGGGAAGAACTGAGCTGTTCGGCACTGTAGCAAGGGCTGGAGAGGGGGCTTTCTCCAGGACAAACATGCTGTCAGAGGCCTTTGTTCCTTTGGTGACCCTTCCCTGAGGCGGCAGACAGACACCATATCTGGGACCCTAGCAACCTGGCTCATACTGGTTGCCCCGCCCTGGTGATTTCCTGAGGCGCCACCCCACCCAAACTTCAGGCCCACCCATGCTGTTGCCAGTTGGTTAAACATAGGATAGGCCCGTCTTGGATCCTGCTTCTGGTTTTCCTAAATTCTTTCAAGCAGCATCTGGTCTCAGCGAGCCCCATACCTCTCGTTAAGTAATACATAGAAACAAACACAGGGAGATAGCGAAAATGAGGAGACAAAGAAACACGTCCCAAATGAAACAGAAAATATCTCCAGGAAAAGAACTAAGCGAAATGGCGATAAGCAACCTAACAGATGCTGAGTTCAAAATACTGCTTAAAAGGATACTCAATGTACTTAGTGAGGGCCTCAAGAGCATAAAAAAGGACCAGACAGTAAAGAAGGTTGCACAGTCAGAAATGAGGGAGGCACTAACTGAAATAAAGAGTAATTTACAGAGATTCAATAGTACAGTAGGTAAAGCCAAGAAGCAAACTATCGATTTGGAATATGAGGAAGCAAAAAACACCCAATCAGAACAACAAAAAGAAAATAGAATCCAAAAAAATGAAGATAGTATAAGGAGCCTCTGGAATAACTTCAAGCGTTCCAACATTGTCATCTTGGGGTGCCAGAAGAGAAGAACAAGAAATTGAAAACCTATTTGAAACAATAATGGCAGAAAACTTTCCTAACTTGCTGAAGGAAACAGACATACAATTCCAGGAAGCACAGTGAGTCCCAAACAAGATGAACCCCAAGAGTCCCACACCAAGACACATCATCAAAATGTCAAAGGTTCAAGAAAAAGAGAGAATCTTAAAAGCAGCAAAAGAAAAGCAGTTCATTACCTACAAGGGAGTTCCCATAGGACTGTCAGCTGATTTCTAAAAAGAAACTTTGCAGGCCAGAAGGGAGTGGCAAGTAATATTAAAAGTTATGAAAAGCAAGAACCTACAACCAAGATTACTCCATTCTGCAAAGCTGTCATTTGGAATCAATGGCCATATAAGAGTTTCCCAGACAAGAAAAAGTTAAAGGCGTTCATCACCACCAAACTGTTATTATATGAAATGTTGAAGGGTCTTTTTGAAGAAAAAGATAAAATATGTGAACAAACAAAATGGCAACGAATACATATCTATCGACAATGGAATCTACAAACAAAATGAAGAGGAAGAACAGAAACATTCTCGTAAACACAGAGAACATTGTGCTGGTTGCCAGATGGTAGGGGTTTGGGGTAATGGGTGCAAAAGGTGAAGGGATTAAGAAGAACAAACTGGTTGCTACACTGACAAACTTCAAAGGAAAGGGGGTTGGGTAGAAATAAACCAAAGAACTTACATGCATAAGCAATGCACACAGACAACAGTGTGGGAAAAGGCGGAAGGGGGGTGGAAATGGGGAGCAGGGGGTCAATGGGGGAAAAATGAGGAACATCTGTAATACATTCAACAATAAAGATTAAAAAAAAAAAAAAAGTACAGAAATTAAGGTTACACGTTTTAATTCCATCCATGTGAGAGGAACAGCAGACACAGCCTCTGACCCACAACACATCTTTTACCTGAGAAGCAGCCATTTTGTCCTGGTCCTGGTCCCGCTCAGGGTTGTTTTCTCAGGTGGAGTCACAGAATGTGCCTTCAAATGTTTCCGCTCAGGCCCTTAATCAGCACACACAACACTCACAATCAAAAGGACCAGGAACTGCTGAAAAGGCCTCTCTGATGTCCTTTGTCACCGAAAACTCAGGAAAAATACAAGCTCCTACATGGAGAACAAACAATGAGAATTTCTTTTTCTGTCTTCACATGTCCCTCCCTATAGAAACCTCCAGAAACTCCTACAGCATTAAGAAGGAAAACTGACCTCCTGAACCCCCAAACTCAACACAACACCGGTACCCTCCCTGAACAAAGCTGGCGGTGGGACTCACAATATACCATCTTCAAGGCGTTCCCTCCTGGTGCCTGCATGGTTCAGTAGCTGTTTCAGTACCACTGAGTGACAAACACCAGAAGTGCCACACCTGACACGCCTGGGTGGCGTGAGGCGTTGGAAGTATCAGAGTATAGAAGAGGAGGCTTGCGAGGCACATTTCCTTCCTCAATTTCCAGGAAATAAAAGAACAGATCTTCACGCTAAAATTTTTGTATAAAGTTAGCTATTGAAATATGCTGATCAAATGACTTCACCAAGTCCATTTATTCCAGCTGATCCTTCGATGTTTTCAGAAAATGAACAAGAGGGACTTGAGGGGAACACCTCCTCTCTGGCTCACAGTCACTAATTCAACAAATGACATAAAGGGAAGGAAAAAGCTGCTGAACATTAGACCAACTCACACACGTAGGTTCTGACTGCTAAGATAACTGACATCTTTACCAAAGGCACAGGGACATGTCCTCATGTTATCCACTAGTTGCCAATGGGTGTTTTAACATATGATAAGCAGTAGAAAGGATACAAAGCTCAGAATCACAACTGGACACAACATACTTAAAATGTACAATTTGGATTGATTTTTTGTTATTTTTCCTCAACTGAGGATATTTTTCCATCAATTTTTTATTATTATTATATAATTATTGATTTTAGAGAAAGAGGAAGGGAGAGGGAGATATATAAAAATGTCAATTAGAGAGAACATCGATTGGCCACTTCCTGCATGTCTGACACTGGGCATTTGGCCCACGACCTGGGCATGTGCTCTGACTAGGAATCAAACCAGCGACCTCTTGGTGTATGGGTCGGTGCTGAACCACTGAGCCACACAGGACTGGCTCTATCAATTTTCAGATAAATTAGAAGGGAGGGAAGAAGAGAGATTTTAGATAAATTAGAAAGGAGGGACGGAGAGAGAGAGAAACAAGGAAGTGAGAGAAATACATGTCTAGGTTGCCTACAGCAGGACCCCAACCAAGGCTGGCGATCGAACCTATAACCCAGGTGCTTGGACTTGAATGGCAATCGAGCCGTTTTCCTTTAAGCCCACAAGCAGAATCTCTAACTGCTAAAACTGGACAATGGTGGTTGTTTTATGTAATTACTTTTAGGTTTCAGGTTGAGTTAAGGCTGAGACAAACATATTTAAAAAAGACAATAAGAGTTGGTTATGGGATATAACAAATGCTTAATTCAAAATTTGGTGACTATTTGATTTGATTTTATTTTTATTTATTTATTTTTTAATCCTCACCCGAGGACATTTTTCCATTTTTTGTTCAGATAGAGAGGGAGGGAGAGAGAGGAAGAGAGAGAGAGAGAAACATCGATGTGAAGGGACACATCGAGTGGCTGCCACCCCCACGACCAACCAGGGCCAGGGACAAACTGCAACCGAGGCACATGCCCTTAGCGGGAACCGAACCGGGTCTCTCTGTACCGCAGGCCAACGCTCTAACCGCTGAGCCAAACCGGCCAGGGCTTAGTGACTCTTTTAAAAGATCGAATATTTAATAAAAATGGTTTAAATAGCATTGGCCGGTAAGAGCATCGGCTCGCGGTCTGGAGTGACCCAATTTCGGTTCCCATTAGGTGCAGGTACCTCATTTTGGTTTTTCCCCCACCCAGGTTTGGGGTGTGTGAGTGGCAACCCCTCCATGTGTTTCTCTCACCCCGATCTTTCTCTCTCTGTCTCTTCCTCCCTCTTTCCCTCTTGCTCTATGAAAGCAAAGTGTCTTCAGGTGAGGATTTAAAAAAAAAGGTTTAAATATCAGAGGTTAAATAAAAAGTGAATCCAAAGGGGAGAAAAATGACCTAAGGATTCTGATATTCCTTGAAATAGCATCATGTACTGACAAATTCAGTCATTACTTGCCCCAAGTCACCTCCTTCTTGCCATCCCAGGAAATGAAAAGGACCAGGACCGACAGACAGCTCTCTGCCCTCTGTCTGAATAGTGTTTTCATTGGAAGCAAACCATTATGAATTTTACAAGCCTTATAAGCTAAAGATTTGTAATTCTCATCCCAACCTTTTACTCAATAATTCAGATAATGCTGAATTAAATACATAAAGTCTCCAGGCAATATATCCCAATCTCAGCACCCACACACCCCAGCAGCTCAGCAGTCACCCAGATCCAGTCCCGGGCTCCCAGCTCCTGTGTGTTTCTGTCTGCAGATCTGTCTGCCTCCCTGTTCCCCTCTCTGCACTGCTGTCCTTTCCTGTTCCCCTCCCCGTCCCCGGCTCCTTCTCCCCTTTTCTCTATTCCTGTCCCTGCACCTGCCCCGCACACTCTGGAAACCTCCCCGCCGTCAGGGGCTCCCCGCCTCTTTCTGAGACCCCTGCCCGGCCCGTGCCCTGTGCCCTGTGCCCGTCCCCACAGCGGGCTGCCTCTCAGCGCTGTGTCTCCCTCGGCCCGTCACCCCTGAACCCCTTTCCGTCCCTGCACTCGCTCCCCAACTCTTCCCCTCAGGACCACGCTCTCCGTCCTCGGGGCCCCTCCTGTCGCCCCCACTTCGGCTCCCCAGGCCGCTCCCGACAGCCCTGGGCTCCCCTCGGGGTGCCCTCTCCCCGGACACTCTCACTGTCCCCCGCTCCTCCCCGAGGCCTCTCCCACCCCGTCCGCTCTCGGCCTCAGGACCGTCCCCCACGTGCCGTCTGTCCGTCCGGCTCCCGCCCCTCCGCAGCCGCCGCCGCCACAGCGCGCTCCCCGCGGCGGGACCTCTCCGGGGGCCGCGTCTCCCGGCTCAGTCCCCCCAGGGCGCCCGCGCTGTCCGGGCACCGACACCCGGGAAGCGGACCCCAGGCCGGGAGCCGTGCGGGTCTCGGGGCCGAAAGCGGTGAGGCGGGGGAGGGGCGCAGGGGGTCGCTCACCCGGACCGGGAGCCGCGGGGCCCCGGCGGCCAGGGGACGTTTCCAGCAGGAGAACCGCGGGCAGGCGGAGCCCAACGGCCGGAGGCGGAGGCACCACCGCGGACGGGACTCCGTTTCCACGGAGACGGACTGGAGCCTCCACGGCGCAGCGTCCCTCGTGGACTCGGAAATCCGCCGGCAGAGGCTCGGGAGCGGGTCCAACCAGGACTCCCCGCCGGCAGCGCCCCCGCCTTCTCTGCGCAGGGAGAGGACGGAGGAATCGGACGCTTCACCTCAGAAAGACCTTCGGCGAAAGGACCTGCGCGGTTCTACAGCCGCTTCCGCCTCTGCAGGCAACTGCGCATGCTCATCCCGGCAAGGAATGGGCGGGGCCGAACCTAACCTGAGGGATCCCCCGAATGGGGGAGGGGCTGCCACAATGGCCTGGGTCTGGCAGAGACCAGCACTGGAGGGAAAGGGCAGAAGCCTGGGGTTTCCTCCACCTGACTCTCATGGGTGTGGCCTTTCCCTGTTCACTTGAGTTACCCACCTCATCAGTCCAAAATTTGTAACACTGCTTTCCAAAATAGAATTATGGGGACCCTCCAAGGATTCAAGTTCGAAGACGTTTGCCACACGTTTGTCCGATAGCCTGGGGACTGGCGCCAGGCAAACTGCTCCACCATTATCTCGCTTACTCAACCTAAACCCCCTCCCCCACCTTCTAGGAACTATCTGCCTTGGGCTTATCGACTCACATTCCAGAGGCTCCCATGTGTAGCCCCCGAAAGGTCAAACCCTGACAAATTCCAGCTGCAACAGGCTGATATAAAAATCACAATCCCCAGCATCCAGCGCGGCTTCTAGGACTCGACCCCCGGAGTCTGTGAACCCGCCCGGAGTGTACCCAACCAATAAAGCCTGACCTCTCCGGTCTCTTCTCTATTTCTTGGCGGCGCCCCGATTCCTTACAATGTTAACATATTTAAGATTTTGCTGATGTATATAGACTGCTGTTCCCACTGACTGACTTCTTTTGAAATGTTTAACTCCCACTTAAATACATTACCCAGTTTATTATATTTTAACATCTTCCTGTGAAGGTAAGAACCATTCAAACCTGTCCGATAGCCTGGGAACTGGCGCCAGGCAAACTGCGCGACCATTGTCTCGCTTGCTCAGCCTTGCCTCCCACCCTGTTCCGGGAACGGCCTGCCCCGGGATTGTAGACTAACTCCCATCCTGCTCTTATCGACTCACATTCCAGAGGCTCCCATGCATAGCCCCTGAAAGGGCAAACCCTAACAGACAAATCTCAGCTGCAACAGGCAGATATAAAAAAGCACAAACCCCAGCCTCGGGCGCGGCTTCTAGGACTCGACCCCCCGGGGTCTGTGAACCCGCCCGGAGTGTACCCAATAAAGCCTGATCCCTGTTTATTCAGCTGATTGGCTCTACAGTCTCTTCTCTGTTTTTCAGCGGCGCCAATTCCTTACAAAACCTATAGAAAGTTTTTGTGCATCTATTTCAACCTCACTGACAGCAATTGACGGGAAGCAAAATTTTAACACATTGATGTACTCTTCTATATAATATCAGTTTGCCCCTTATTTATATATTATAATTTAAAGAGAAGGTGCAAGTGGGTTACATTGCTGATAGATTAGGGCAGTGGAAGAAAGCAAAGAAGAAAACCTCTGGGATTCTATTAGAAATTCTCAACTTCTGGGCCAAATCCCCAGTGGGGTCATGCAGGAGAGCTAATTGATGTTGTCTCTGTCTGAGAGCCTGGGAACTGGCGCCAGGCAAACTGTTCAGCCATTACCTCGCTTACCCAACCTAAACTCCCACCCCGTTTCAGGAACTGTTTGCCCCGAACTCATAGATCAACTCCTGTCCCATTCTCCTGTCCTAGTCCAGGAACTGTTTGCTCTGGGACAAGAGACTCACATTCCAGGGGCCCCCAT